AGACCAGAGAAGGTCATTAAAATGACAGATTAAGAAAAAATATTTTTAAATATATTATACACATCAGTTGAAACATTATTCCAACTGTTTTAATTTCACATATGAGAGAGCAAGCAGATTAACAAAAAAGATAAAATCATGAAAAATACTGGAGATGGATGGTGGTAATGACTGCATAACAATGTGAATGTACTTAACATCACTGAACTGTACACTTAAAAATGTTTAAAATGGTAAATTTATATATGTTTTACAATTTAAAAAAGAAAAAAAAATTTGAAGATCAATATATACAAATAAACTTAGACCACTGCCCATCTGCTCTGAGGTAAGATTTTTAGGTCAGCAAGGGATGCGCACAGCACATCTCTAAATCCTAAACTAGATATTGTCCCACACTGATGAATTATTTAATCCTTTCTTGAATGTAGCTGCAAAGCCTCTCCGAAGAGACAGGTATCCCGCATAGCACATGCATGCCCTGATCACCAACAAATGCTTGAATAGTCCTCCTATCTGATTCTATATTCAGAGGTCTAATTTTGCTTTCAAGGCCTATTTTCTTTATGCTTGAATTACATAAAATAGCAAGCCTCTGCTATAGAAGAAGAAATTATTACATTTGAAAAGTTCTACAGACTGATTGAAAGTACCTAGTACAATAAAAACATATAAATTGTTTCATAAATGTTTTAAAATACCATTATTGTCTGTGCAAGTAAAACAGTGCCAAAAATTAGTTGTCCATGGTGCCATGAGCCTAGTGTACTACAGGGACCACAAGGCAATTCTCTCTCCTTTCCATCTCAGTTAATGGCATGGAAAGCCTGTATTTAGGCTTAACACCTCCCGTCCACTTCTTTTGGTAATCAAATCCTATTGACTCTACCTCAAAGAAGCCTCTTACTGTTTAAATTCAGTTTCATTATGCTAAGTTTGGCTCAGCTCACCTACACCAGCCAGTATGTCCAAAATACTGCCAATGCCACATATGATCAACATAAAAAAATTAACAAGATATCTGACTTTCTTATTTTCATACTAAGTCTTTGAAATTTAGTATGCATTTTACACTTACAGCACATCTCAATTCAGACTAGCTACACTTTAAGTGCTCAACAGCTACCGGACAGCACAGACCTGAGACCATCAGGAGTTCTCAACACTGGCTGCTTATCAGAATCACTTTTCATTTATTCAGTAAGTGAACTTACTAGCTCCACGGTCTACAGGTGAACTGGTGAACAAGACACATCTTCAGCCCTCATCTCACATACACATACTATTAATTCTTCCATTCTAAGCACACAGCTTCAAAGGTTCTCAAACATAGTAGTCCTTTCAAACTCCTTATTGTTATTACGATGGTTTTCTTCCTCTTCCTAGACTTTAACCTCTCTCTTCCATCATCCCGTCTATTCTTCAACACCCAGGGCAACTGTCATTTCTCTCTGTGATGCGTTCTCTGGTTCCCAGGCAGTTATTTATCCCCTCCATTGTGTGCTTGGCTTATCTCTCTGACATACTACCACAGACTAGAACTACAATTTATCTATTTATGAATTTGTCTCTCCACAAAATCAGGGGTTATCAACCTTATAACTCAGACACACAGGAATTGAGGTCAGTGGTAGAGAAGCAGTGGAATTACAGTTAGTTGCAGAAAATCACATACATCCTATTTTAGCTATGCTGTTATCTATGCTATAGTTGCCCCTACCCAAACTAAATCTGTTTTCCCATAGAAATTCATTATGTGAAGATCAAAAGTCACAAGTTACAGTAAATGTATCACAGAAATGACCAGCACCTGCTTTTGTGCCAGATCCATCACTCAAAATAATTAACACCTGGTGCCTGAGTTTATTAACAGTTTTCTCTAAGTTTGTATAGTGAATTCCCTAAAACCTGAACATTCTTGAATCTTAGGACTCTATCCCTTAGTGTGCATGAAGCTTGGTGCCTTTGAGGGCTTTCTCATCTAGGAAAAGCAAGAATTAGGCTTTAAATATCTTAACAAAATACCAGTTTTGCTGTCTACTAAAATGATATGCTGAACATATAAATATTTATGATCAACAACCACTTACACTAAGATACCCGTTAAAAACCTAAATTTCCAATGCTTATGTTCATTTCTTATTGAGAGCCTGAAACCAATATATGTTAGAAAAGGCTAAGAACTATTCTAATCCCAGTACATACTATAAGCTGTCATCAAGGAATAGCCAGTCATATTATTTGTTTTACATATATTTTCTTCACAGTAACACAATAATATAGCTATCATATCCATTTTACAAATTAGGAATTTTTATTTAACTCTACTATCAGTTTCCTTAAGTAATGTGTTCAGAATATGAACTCCAGATGTCTGCCCTTTACCTTAACTACAATCCATGTCGTGGTATGCTGGAGCCAGTTCACAATGACTCATGGAATACAAGTAAATTTTAAGGAACTGCATAAACTATAATTAAAAATTAAATTATATAAACTAACAATTAAATAAGTAATATTAATAACAAAGGTAATACTTATTCAAAATTCACTTCCTAAATATTTTAGTACATCTTATTCTTGTGGCTAATTATATTTATTATATATATGTATGTATGTTTGTGTGTGTATTCCCACACTTTCCGACTCTGTATTCAGTGATACCATTTTGGGAGCTTGAAACTGACCATGATGGGAGTATTTACCCCAAAGAAACTGGTAAATCCTGCGAAGTTTTTTTTTTTTCTGAGTGGCTGTTAAACATCTACCAGCAAACCACAGAGTCCATTCATTATACTGAAGTAATACTCAAAATACACATGCTCAGCTCCTACCTAGAAATTCGAATTCAGCAGATCAAGGGTAGAGTAACAGCCTGCATATTTTGAAAAAGACCATCTCTCCTCCAGAAGAATTTTGATACATATCTCCAGCTGAGAACTACCATTTGAGACTTCTAAAATGATTTTATGTATCATATCAGACATTAGAAAGCTACATACTTAAAATTATATTACTTTAAGTCCCCAAATATGTCTTTACAAACTATGAAACTGGGACACAGCTTTTTTTCAAGGATCAGAATAGTCAAAAGAAAGTTTCTATATATCTTAAATTACAAAACAGTTGCTGTTTTACATAATTCAATAACTTTCATAATAAGACTACAATGAGACATCCAGATATCCATATGCGAAAGAATGCGGTTGGACCCTTACCTCACACCATTAACATTAGCTCAAAATAGATCAGTGGTTTAAATGCAAGAGCTAAAGCTCTAAGATTCTTTGAAGAAAACCTGGGCACAAATCTTCATGACTTTGAATTAGATAACAGTTTCTTAAATATGACACCAAAAGCACAAGGAACAATAAAATATAGATAAACTGGATTTCATCAATTAAAAATTATTTGTGTTTTAAAGGACACCATCAAGAACATGAAAAGACAACCCACAGAATGGGAGAAAAATTTCTGCAAATCATATAAGGGGCTTGTATCCAAAATATATGAAGAATTCTTAAAAGTCAACACTAAAAAGACAACTCAATTTGAAAAGGGACAAAGGATCTGAATAGACATTTCTCCAAAGAAGATACACAAATGGCCAATAAGCACATGAGAAGGTGTTTAACACCACTAGCAATCAGGGAAATACAAGTCAAAACTACAATGAGATTACCAATAGGATAGCTATATTAAAAAGTTAGATAATAAATGCTGGCAAAGATGCAGAGTATTGGAAACCTTACACACTGCTGGCAAGAATGTAAAATGATGCAGCTGCTTTGGAAAACATTCTAGCAGTTCCCTGAAAGGTTAAACATAGTTACCATATGATTCAACAATCTCACTCCCAGATATAAACCCAAGAAAAATGAAAACATATGGTCATACAAAAACTTGTATATGAATGTTCATAGCAGCCTTATTCATAGGAGCCAAAAAGTGGAAACAACCCAAACATTCATCGACTGATGAATGGATAAACAGAATGTGATATATCAATACAATGGAATATCATTCAACAAAAACAAGGAATGAAATACTGATATATCCTATAATCTTTCATGAACCCAGAAAACATTATGCTAAGTGAAAGAAGCTAGTCACAAAAAACCCCACATATTATACGATTCCATTTATATGAAATATCCAGAATAGGTAAATCAACAGTGACAGTAAGTGGAATAGTGGTTGCCTAGGACTGGTGGTCAATTGTGGGGGTGGGGAGATGACCACTAAAGGGTATGGGTTTTTTTTTCTGGGGTGATGAAATTGTTCTAAAATTGATTATGGTGATGGATGCATGACTGTGAATATAAGAAAAACAAGTGTACACTTTAAATGGGTGAACTTTACCTCAATAATTATGTTGCAAATGTACACACAAGAGCATGATAAATTTCTTTAAAAAAAAATTAGCCCTGGGAAATTTCCATTCCTGACAAACATCTATATTTTCTTTTAATCAATAAACTACATCATAAATTGTGCTTCTCTTTTGGCTTCACTGCCAGGAAATTCACCAATAAATTTTGTTCTCATTATGTTTTTCTTTTCTTTACCTAAGTTTTCTAGTTCAGTTTCTGTCACCACCATGCCTTGCCTTCATTGTGTTAATTTAAGAGTGTCCTACTGTCAGCCACTTCAATCTTTCTCGGAAGCAGGCAGGAGATGATGGCTGGCTGAATTCTGAAAACTTAAGAATACATTTAGATACTCATAATGTCCACCAAGGTATAGAAGCCCTATGAAGTTCAGCTTGAGATCTGTCAACCAATTCCCTTCACCTTAACTACCACCAAGAACTAAAACAATCAGAATTGAGAGTTCTTCCAGAGGACTTTTTCCCTCTAAATTACATTATCCACATAGAACATTATAATGCAATAGTACACATTTACCATGTATTTAGCACACAAGATAATATTTAAAATAGAACTTAAATAATAAATCACTACTGAAATTTAACTTTGTTTCGGGAAATTCATTCCTACCCTAACAGGTGAGGATGAGTCCTCTGTATTTCGTTTCTGGGACTCAGCGTCCACATCTTGGCGCTTGTTCTTCATTCTTTCTCTAAGATCCCCTGTAGGTCTTTCTGGTGACCTTTGAACCAAAAAACAAAAACAATACGAAAAACAAAACAAAACAACAAAAATCTGTATTTATATGACATTTTATAAGAGTTTATTTACAGAAATAACCTCATAAATCTCTATTTTTTCTACTTTCCATGGCTCCTAAAGTTCAGAAAAAATAAATTTCAGCTTAAATATTAATACATAAAAGATATGAGCATAACTTACAAGTTTTCTCCCAATGCCAATCAAAATGCATATATTAAAATTCCATGGAGTGGCAGATATTGGTGATATTAATAAGAAACTATGTATGACCTGAGAGAAAGGAATTTGTAATTAACAGCTTAATGTATTTTTCTATTAATCAAGAAGTAGGAAGATAAAGTTTTTAATAACAATACTGCAAAATTAATCTAGAAGGAACAGAATTAATCTAGAAGGAACAGTGTGTGGCTATAACATCAACAACTGAAGAAATATTCTATGCACCTCAAGAATCAAAGCAAATATAGGAGTTTGTGTTACTCTCATAACTCTTCTTAAATTTGAAATTATTTCAGAACAAAAAGTAGTTAAAGAATTTAAAGCAAGACTTTCGACAGTTACTTTATACTCTGCTGTAGACTGTTTTCAATTAAGGAAAAAAAATACATATTTATATTCAACACTGGTAAAGCTTCATAATTTATACTACCAATTTGATAAATGCCTGTTCAATTTTCATACCATCACTAATCGAGAAAAACAAAGCAGAGACAGAAAACACACTGCCTTTAAAGAATATTCCTAGAGCACCTTTAAAAGAGGGCAACAGATGTTAAGGAATATGCCCCTCTTTGGCCACCAAAAATGCTGTGTGTCATATTTTTTAGAAGATATAAACAAATTACATAAATATTCACATCTATTTCAGTAGTTGATCAGTCAAAGCAATTCCTTTAATTTATAAATCAGTACAAATCACATGGTTAGTGAAAAAAATTATTTCAGTCAATTCACTTTAAAGGATATCATTAACATTTGCATGAGTAATTTATAGATTTATACTAAGTGTTTTAACAGTTAAAGATGAACTTGTAAATGGAACTTCTTATTAAGAATCAGCACTTAAATGCTTTAAATTACAATATGATGCACATGTAAATTTTATGTGCCCTAATTTCCTTATATAATAAGACAGTTTATTATAAACTTGTTCCCATCCCAAACAGCACCGAATAGAGTGCTCAATGACTTAAATGACTTGTGACTAAAGCATTTCTGAAATACATTGCTTCTCTTTTGGTCTTTGAATCACACTATGAACTTATATTTTTCTTCCTCACAAAAAAAGGAGAAAATACACAAATATAAAGGAAGTTATCAGGGGGAAAAAATGCACAAAATAGCAAAATTGTAACAAAAAATCCTTTATTCTAAATCTAGTAATGACACCATTTTTTCTATTTTAGACAAATTTCTCTGCCCACTTTCCTCACAACCATCACTTGTATAAAAATTTTGAGTCAGTTAATAATAAACTTCAAAGGTGAAGTAAAGCACGTATTAAAAATTCAGTAATAATAAAGCAAAACATTAAAATTACGGAAACAGTTTCCCCAGGTATGTGTTTATACAGGTGTTAAACTTACAAAGACTAATTTTCCCACACTGACAGAAGGGACAGATGACACTCTAAATACAAATAAAACAGAGTATTCAGCATCACAAGTAAACTAAAATGTACAACAGTTAAGTGAACAGAAAGTCAGCTGATGCTAAGGGTGTGAATTTTAAATCCTATGAAATTTCAAACTTTATACACATTGACAAAAATTCACCCACTTAAAAAAAAAATCTCCAAATGCTAATGTTCAGGTTTTATACTGTTGTTGGAGCCAAAGCAATAAGCATACCTAATTCTAGGACTAGGTAAATTACCTGTTTACCAATCAAGTTTAAACTGTTTTTGTGATAATCTGTACATATGTTACATCTTTAAACACCATAACAAAATCATCATGAGGGGACCAAAAGAAAAATAAGATTTTTATTAGGAAAGTCTAATTTGCCTTTATTAAAGGCAAAATGATGTTCTAAATAGGTAGTACATTTATCCACATATAAATACATATTTTCATTACATCAATATATTGTGGTAAGAGATTTGGCAAATGCATTTTAACCTACAGAGCTTGTATCAGATTATCTTTTGTCAGTAAGATTTGAATTTAGAACATCTTAAAAAGCTAAAATTACATCCTATTTAAATTTTAATATTTTAAGAGTTGAAAATAGTCTCTCCTCATGAAAAACAAACCCCTGAAATTCTGCTCTCTTAAACAGCACTTAAATATATAATGGGGGGGAGGGACACAAAAGTAACTCATACATATATTACAAAGACAAATTTTTGAGCAAATAAGTTAATTTTAAAGCAAATATTTTATTAGTCTTGAAAGTAACAACTAAAAAGACCTTATTGATCTTTGACTACCACAAAACAGAATATCTGACCAAATATTGTATTTCAGATTTTTAAACTAGATAAATTACAAAAGCCATCTTCTAATAGTATATGAACAATTCAAAGTTCTCAATTTACCTTCTATAATTGCTGCTATAACCTTTACCACGGGGTGAAGGGCCATGTACGAATCTACATGTGTTTCCATAGAGGCAGTTGCCAGTCTTCAGCCAGTTACGGCACTGTGTCTAAGAGACAGATATTACTATGTAAATTTCATATGTATTCATATTTACTTCTGGAAAAAAGATGCTAGTGGGACAAAATTTAAATAAATGCTATCAAAATTCCAGCTAACTTGAGATATACTACTCCCCAAATAATAAGAACATCAGGAAAAAAAAAAAGAAAAGAAAATCCCATAAATCCTATTGCTCATCTTACTCCTTTTTATGAAACACATTTTTAAAAATTTACTTTACCAATATTCCTACAACAACCTATGCACTTTTGTGATAGAAGTAAGAATTTGATGACAGGAAGCAAGAGAACCCCTGTGACTGTACTAGTGACAACTCACCTCTGCTGTACTGCCAGTGCTGGGTCCAAGCCTCTCAAATACACTGGGTCTTCGGGATGTGCTATCAGATATGGTCTTGGTATTTTCCACTGTGACCTTCCTTCTAATTTTTGACATTTTGTACTACTTTAACCAAAAAAGAGAGAGGCAAAACTGTGAAATTCTTTAGTTTGAAGTAACTGAGCCCATAACTTACAAGTGATAAAGTAACAGATAACTGCAAAATGACAGAAGATTTTCCTCAGAAGAAAAAAAGCCATGAGAGGTCACAAGTAAATACAGGCTATTTCTAAGACACACCTTATTAGTGAATTAGTGAACCACTCTAAAATCTTTTGGCTAGAATTTCACCTCTTCTGCAGAGTGAAGGAATATGATTCTACTCACACAGTTAAGTTTTCATTGTACATTCAGGTTTAGAAAACACACTATAAAATGTTCAGTTTCTAAGTTCTTTATAAAAGTTGTTTCAATTTTTTAAACTATCTTTTATGAAAGATAGTAGAAACTATGTTATGAAACATAGTAGAAACTGTTTTATACAGTTTAAATGATGACAATAGCTATGTTCCAAAAATCAACCTAGGAGAAAAATTCCATTTAAATATTTTATTTATCTTACAGAGCCCAAAGGAAAACAGTCTAATCAGAGGTATTTATTTTCCAATAATACAAAAACCAAAACCAAAACAAAACTCAATGTTGATAAAATGACTTGCTTTCAAAATAGGACAAGTTATAGAACTAGAAAAAGTGAAGATGTTTTGATAATCTACACTACATTGACACAGAAGTCAAAGGTGCTAAAAGAAACAGAACAGACTATTTTACAATTATTAGTAATAAGAAAAGAACAAATTATAAATGTATTTTACAAAAGTAAATAAAACATTAAAAATTAATCACAATTAGGTGATTCAACTGGAAATGAAAATATCAGACAACAGCACTATGATATATGTTAGAAAACAATAGTAAATTCTAGACCTAGAATAATCTAGAATATACTACCATGGGAAGTGAGTAGGAACTGCCTAAGAGAAAGAAAAAGGAACTGAACTATATTACACATTATACACTAAATACTAGTTGAAATTCTGTTAGTAGTCCAAAGTTACTATAATGAATGATATCAGCTAAGGAAGTAAAAGCTCCATTTGATAAAGAACTGATCTCTACAAAGTTCAGAAATGCTCTTTAACGTAGTTTCAAAGTAAAGTCATATCACTTGAAAGGAAATTAAATCATGGTAGTACAGAATCAAAACTTCTAAAAAAAGCATAAACAATGTTTGGTTCAGTTAGATATCTTTTCAGATCACATTTTTAAAGGTCCAAAAAATAAGGACAACATTTGACAAATGAACAAGGATAATGAAGCAAAAGTAAAATATGATATGATACAACATGGTAGTTTTAAATTGGAAAAATGTATAGCCTTATTTTTTAATGTACAATGTAATCATTCATTACAATCACAATTTTTAGTGATTCCAGAAAGTTAGAAAGTAACTTCAAAGTAATCACAAACTTTTAATTACGTAGCGAGTCACATAAGTGAATAAGAATTTGCACAACATTAAATCACTTATGTATCAACTGTTCTTCAAGTAAGGAATGATAGGGTTTGCTTTACATATTAGAGTTAGTATTATAAAGTAATCTTTGATATAAATTTTCGTAGGCTCATTCCTAGCCCAAATGTGAATTTATAAAGGAAAAGTTGGTATGATTTACTGAACATTAAGAACTAAGGAGCTGAGAAAGATCTAGAAAATGTAGAGCTTTAACTGAGAAAACAACTTTTTCACAATTTATAACTGAGTAAGATTGAATAAGAAGTAAGTATGTAACAAAACATGCGGAAGAAGTTAGAACAAAAACAAATTTTTAAAGTGTCATATGTTACTATAAATATTAATATAGAGATGTGCATTGAACTTCTCACTCATTAATTCAACTTTAAAAACATTTATTAATAAACTTAAAAATGAATGGGTTCTAAAAGTTCCTTATTAGCTATTATTAGTTATCTAGAACTTGGAAAACAGGCACACCATTCCACCACATTGCCTCAAGATGACTAACCCCAACCTTATATTTTTCCTTCCACTATCAGTGGAAATAGTTAGATCTGCCCCACTCCCAAATCCCCATCCCCAACATGCCCCTACTCCCAACACACCCTCTTCCACAAAAATCAACAGTAGTGTCTTCCACAATTGGGGCAACAAGCTGTTTATTATTATACTTGAAACACTGGTCATCTATTACCTCCTTTCTTGTTTTTCTGAGGGCTCCAGGTATTATTCACTCTGTCTCTATTCCCATCTATAACCTGTTGCTTGGATCAGCATTCCTCTCCTTTGACCTACTGCTGGAAAGCATGGTCTCACAGCTTCTCTCCAAATCTAGATCCCTAACATAAGCTTTGAAGACTTCAAAGGATTTGAACTACGACAGACAATCAAGTGAGAACTAATGATCCAATCTTACCCCTCTTCTATTCGTGTCACTAAAAAAAGTTACTTCCCACAAAGTTGCTTTTACAGGTGAAATCAAAAACTACTCAAGATTCACCTACATAGTGATTATCCCAGGAATTTTACTTCTGCTACTGTTGAATCTCCCAACTTAGGGAAGAACAGCAATGAAGTAAAGATGTATTCTTCTCTTTTCTCAGAGTCCAAGAGTGTCAGACCTTGGCCTAAAATGACACTGAATTTGAGTACCAGGTCTAGGTTACAGGGAGGTCCTAGACAGAAAAAGAGAGAAGAAAAAAAAAAATCTGAGGCAAAAAGGGAAAAAGCAGGAACTGAACCTTTCTAATTGATAGAGGAATTCTTCTGATCATCTATCTAGGAACTTCTAACAGCAGTCAACAATAGCAAATTATCTAAATATTATTATGAAACATTTATATTTTTGCACAAAATAAAGTTTTATGCTTGCAAAGAACATAAAATAGAGTATTTTAATTCCTATTTTTCTAAATATTATATACACATAATCTACAATACACCAGAAAAGCATCTGCTCATATATATTCATTAATTAATTAAAAACTATGTTACTACCTAATGTGACAGAATATTCAATCTACAAATATGGGCCCAAGAAGAAGGACAAACTGCAACAGAATAAAATGTAGATTTGACTTGGGGGCAGGAGGAGCACTTTTTCAACTAATGTCTGAACAGGCTTCAATAAGAAGCAAATGCTTCAAAGTATGTGAGAAAAATTAGAAACAGTAAGACAAAAATGCGTAAGTCTTCCCTAGCTCAGAGACTTGAAGGTTTCCCCTCTAGTTTTCAATTTATTCTTCAGTTTTAAGTTGCCATTGACTTCTACTCACATTATCAGGTCTTTCCCAAACACCAGCATTATCAAAGCCAGAGTGACACTGGTGAATCTATTGTATTACTTTCCTATTTCTCCTCTCCATTTGCAGAGTAAATAAACAATGGAAGTTTTTATATTTTCAATTGAAAAAGAAATGAAAAACAGGGGATATAAAGTTTGAATACACTAAGATACAACAAAAAGTCTTAATAAATGGGAAATGTCCCCATTTCACCAGAAATTTACAAATACCACAATGTACTCATAGCTTCATACTATAAATATGGCTAAGAAAGGAGAAACATACAAGGATCTCTTTCTCACTCTTCTTTTTAATAATTTAATAACTATTTCTGAAGCCTAATTACTAAAATCTTGCCAATAAAACATTAGTTCTAGTATTCTCACTTCAATTCATAATTAAATCTTTTGAGGTCTCATCTTCTAGTAGCATAAATGAAAGCATAAACTACTTCAACCTGGATAAACAGCACCATTAGATTAGGAAACTGTCAAGGAACTAAGCATTTAAAACTACATAATTACTAGTACTAACTGGTAGAAAAATAAACCCCTATCCACTGACATTCTAAAATTAAAAGAGTTATATTAAAAATAAGACCCCATCATATTTGTATTTCTTATTTTTGAAAGAAAAAAGTTTATTTGATGTACAGTCTGAGAACTTTTTAACAGAACTTCTTTAAAAAAAAAAAAACTTTCTTGAACAATCTTGCAGATTGCTTATCTGTAGACTAAAACAATTCCAAAAAAAATTGTCAGAGCTAAGATGACTACACAGGGATGAGGAACGCAATACTGTAGCACTGTGCAAAAACTACATTTTGTTAAAAAGCCTAGGCAGGGAGAACATCACATGCCAGCAACTACTATAAAGTGAAGTAAGCAGAACTGTAACATACAAAAGCACCAAAAAGAATAAGTGAAACTTTATATACCAACATCAGTTAACATTTCAACTGCTACTAAGTATCTGTTGAAATAGCTCCAACCCAACTCTATATGAAAAGGAGAGTGAAGGTTGGGGGAGGTAAAAGACTAATACTCACTGAAAACCAATTCTATAAATAAATATGTTAAACAATTTTGCTTTCTAAGTGTAAATGCCAATGCATACTACAATACAAATTAATACCGATAGCTTGTTAAATTTTTAGTAACCTGTACATAAATTAAAATAGCATCCACCTGTTGGATTTTAATTTACAAATACAAAATTAGATAAACTTAATCTAATTTATCTAGTTTAAACTGGATATAATATGCAATCAACGTTCATTTCGAATCACCAATGATTAGGAAGCCAGTAAGAGGCACGCATTTCATAAAACTAGATCCCCACAGTAAAAGATTTAGTTTCAGGATGCAACTATTTTTACAGACACAAATTGTTACATATCTGCTTCTACAGTCTTAGTCTCTTTGAAATTGTCATATCATAACTATTTCGTTAAATTGGAAATTTTCGAAAATCTAAAGATATGTCCACAAAACTGCCCAAAATATTGTCCCTCAGGTGCTAAAGTCAGAAATTTCAAACTAGACTCCTACAATTGGCAACATAACGGCCTGGATTGTACTGCATAAGCATTTAGATTTACTGAAACCGTATTTTTTTTAAACTTTGAAAACTTGAGGTATGCAGACTTTTCCAAATGTCTTAAAAGTATTTCTTCAAAAAATAAAAAACCTGAAGAGATTGCATACACTCATAATTTTCAAAGTAGTTCAAATGATCTGAAAACCTCGAAATAAAACCGAATGGCTCGACACTACGCTCCACAAACAAGAACCTATTGATATCATTCACGTAATATCAACTCTAATTAAAATTTCCAGCCACATCAATTATTTTAACCTATTTGGAGAGAGATACTGCCAAACATCAGATCCTCTCCTTTCATTCTACCTCCCCCGGTTTCTGACAGACAGTTGCCAAAAGTAACAACCAAGGGGCTGGGAAGATAAAGTAACACTCCTCAACTCTGAGGACCTAAGTCATTAAATTATTACCGCCAGGAAATAAGCAAGACCAAATATAACCAAACGTAAGATACCTTTGTGCAAAAGGTCTGGAATGCGTAAAGAGGGAGCTTCTAAATCTAAGACCACATTCCGGCACCCTCCCATCGCAGACAAACGCGAATACCGCGCAAGGGTTCCCGAGCCCACAACAAATGGTAGGGATCCAGCACCGCCTTCCGCCTGAATCCACCGATCCCTTGAGGCAAACTCACAAGATCAGAACGAGGGCGAGAAGCGAGGCGTGAGCACAGGAATCTACCACAGAGTTACGGGTGGAATGCTCAAAATCCTGACGTGACCCAAGCAGGGATGGGAACAAGCGGGACCTCCCCCATCCCGGGCCCGCCCAACCCCTTTTCTCCGGTACCCGCACCAATTCACAGAATTCAAGCTTACCTCCTCCCCAAGCTCCCTTCGCAAGCGTAGTCCGGAGGCGGCACCGCCGCCACGGCTCCGAGGAGCGGGGGAGACGACTCTGTCCCCGCGCCTGGCCCCGGGAAGACGACGACGACGAAGAGAAGGAGGTGCGCGCGCGGCTCCCGGGAACCGGTCCTCGGCTAGCGGGGGGCTCCCAGGACGGCTGGGAGGCGGAACCCTCCGGCCCCTTCGCCAGGGTCAAGCGAGCCTGGGACGCAGGAAGAAAAGGAACGAACAGTGACCAGAAAGTAAGAAAAGACAACAAAAACACTACCAGGCCGCTAAGAGGATCCCCCTCAAAATGCCGCCGGAAGTCGAAGGTTTGCCCTGTTCCTCCGTACACCGAGGCAGCTTCCGGCCGCCAGATTAGTCGTCAGCGCGCAGGCACCGCCCCTTCGTGGGCACGCCCCGCCACGGGCGTAACGTGCGGCCGAAATCACCAAAATCTGCTCTGTGAGTGTTCCGTAAAGAAGCAGCCCGCAATCCCGGAGAGCCAGAATTCCCAATTAAAAGTGAATTCGAGGGAGTTTTCTCCTTTAATTACATAATTTCTTAACAATAAACAGCTGTTGTCAATGTGCAAGTCGCCACATTTGTTATCCAAAGTAGCTGTAGCTACTTATACGCTCAACAATGTTTTTATTGAGCAGCTGAACTGGAGCGGCGGGAGGTGTTCTGTTTTTGAAACTCTGCTTTCTTGGCCATCGCTTGTTGCAGTGGAGTAAACGGAATGCATGATTGTGTTTTTAAAGGCGCAAGCAGAAATTTATTGAAAATTTGGAGCAGAAATCTCTCATGAACTTCTGACAAACTTTTCCTTTTGTTTAGGATCCAATGATCTGCATAAAATTAGTTGTTAAATTGCTTGAGGTGGCTAATCAAATGTCGCGAATTAAAGAAAAAAATCAGGACTTATTACAAATTAAAAAAAAAAGGAAAAGGAACCCTTGTCTGCCTTAATTTTAAGGTAGCATTTATTTTGTTCTTTGACAAAACCAAGAAATAGGAAAACCTTTTAGCAAAACTACCGATAAAACTTAGAAAGAAACTGGTACAATGACTTGGTATTCCTGGAATCAGTCAATTAAAATATGGGAACAGACTGAAAAAATCAAGGGCATTAAACATTCCTGATGACATGCGAAGCTATCTTAGAGACAGCAGCGAGAGCTTCTGTACAAGTAGGTTTGATGTAACGCTCTGGCAGCAAGAATCCGTATCTGCCTGTATCTCGAAGTTCAATTGTAAATGAATATTTGATGCCCAAGTCATAGATCCAGTCATCCGAACCTCCTGGGGCTAGATCTACAAGAAGAAAAAAAGAAATTACGTTTTTGAAATTCAGATGTTTCAAGTTAACTAACAAAATGGATTTTTTCCCCTAAAAATGAAAAATAGCTTTGCTTTTCTGATTATTAAATAACCTGTTTCTGAAGGAAAACAGGTTAAGGAAGAAAATATAAATTACCCATATAACCCTACCAATGAGTGATAATCATCATTTATAGTCTAGAGCTTTTTTTTCAGTGCATGCTTTAACATTATTTTTTCCTATGTAAGTAAGATCATTCTATGCATGCTATTAGGTAACATTTCTACATATAATCTTTCATGACTAGCTTTATGTATTAATAAGTTCAAATCTACCTTATTTTTAATGATCTCACAGCGTTGCATTATAAAGTTAAATGTAATTAATTTTAATAACTTTATTTGAAGGGCTTTAGATTTCTTCTAATTAATATAAACAACTCTGCAATGAACACCTTTGTTTATACATAATTGCTTCTTTGTTTCTTTAGAATATTCTTTCTGAGAAGATTTGCTAGTCTAAGGGTATATAACTTTTACAATTGTGCTACATGTTGCCAAATAGCCTTCAAAAGAATTGAACCAATTTACATCTCCATTAGCAGGGCATGAATGTGCCCACTTACACTTCCCACACCATCTCTGGAAATGATGCATTTCTGGCAATTTTATGGGTGAAAAATAATATCAAATTGTCTTACCTTATGTTTGATTATCAGTGAGTTGAACATTTTGTTTGATATATTTATTGTCCATCTTTATGTTTTTGGTCAATTGTCTTTGCTCATTTTTCTTCTGGATTCATTTTATATATTGTTTATAAAAGCAGCATTAGTGTTATTAGCCTGTGTAACATGTGGATTTTTTTTTCTTATTTGGTAATTTTGCTTTCAACTTAGTTTATGGAAGGGTTTTTACATTAAAATAATTTATGTATCCGGAATTTGTTTTAGGGAAAGACATGTTAGTAATCCAATTTTTAAAAATTTTATAAGTAACTTTCCAGTGTTTCCAACCCTGTTAATTGAATAATCTAACATTCTTAACTATTTGAAATGCCTTCTTTATAAGATAGTAGATCTTATATATCTGAGTGTCTTTCTACGCTTATTATTCTATTCATCTGCCTCTTCCAGGCTCAGTTCCTTCACAATGAACATCCTTAATTATACATAATTTCTTGTTTCTTTAAAAGTACTATACCTAAAACTAAACAAAAAACTATACTACAGACTTACAATGTTTTGATACTTGATTGGAGCAAATTCTTTCTTATTAGTCTTATTTTTCAGAATTTTACAAGCTCTTCTATCAAAAATATTCTTTCAAATGAAGTTCAAAGTCATTTAAGTGTTCACTGGGGTTGCATTAAATTTACAAACAATTTAGAACGACAGACACATTTTTTAATATTGCTTTCCTATTCAGAAAAAAAAAGTAGGTTTCTTCTTTTATGTACACCAGTAAAATTTTCTAGATTTTTCACAGAAATCACATGGATTTATATGTGTGCACACGTACACAACAATGAATCTATATACATATGTATGTATCTATATGTACATGTCTGCATGTGTATACATGTATATGTAGGGAACCAGTAAGAGCTTTTTTTTTCATTTTTTTCTGATTATTTTTGATATATAAGAAAGTTATAGATTTGTATATATTTAGTTCATAGTCAACCACCTTACTCAACTCTTTGTTACTAATATTTTTGGTTTTCTATTGTTTTCCAGGTAGACAATCATATAACATGCAAAATGATCATTTTTGCCTCTTTCTAATAACTATACTTGAATTAATTACAAAGATGATTACTGAAGCATTGTTTATAGTATTGAAAAATATCCATCAACAGTGGATTAAAGTTACTCATTCATTCAGCAAATCTTTGATAACTATTAACAATATTTGTCATTTATTCTTCCAGCTATTTTTCTATACTTAGAGAGAGAAAGGGAGAGAGAGAGAAAGAAAGGGAGAGAGATTTGTGCTGAATGAATGAATTCGTGGAGATGGAATGATTTCATCAAAACAGGGAGTTAATCTATAAACTCATTTCAGCACTGAGGCACTATGTTCATGATTTGGGGGAAAACAGAAGAGGATGGGAGTCAAGAAAGCTCTGAATTATGAAAGGAAGTTGTGGGGTTCCTCTGTGACAGAGCAATGACCTGCGTCAGCAAAGGCAGTATTAGACCAGTGACACCAAGAGACAAAGAAACCTTAGGGACCAATCTGGCCCCAGGTTGTTTTAAGATAATTTGGGGTGATTGAGGAGGAAGAGGAAGATTCTAGACTTTCTACTAATAGAGCATCTGGTGCTCAGGCAATTTACTGAAAATAATATGAATGTGATTATTAATGTGAATGTGTTTTTATCCCCTTGTAGGTCATACCTGTTAAAGGAAACTCTGGGACTTTGAATATATTGTCTCAAAGCATTTTCACAAGCCATCCCTTCTCCCTGGTTTTCCCACACACCCTTGTTTGGCAGCCACTTACCAGGTAGATCTCCCAGACAGGTCGCCTACCGAGAGAGACCTTCCCAGGCCACTTGAGCTAAGTAGCCTCTCTCTCTGGCAGTCATTCACAAACCCACAAACCTATTTTATTTTCTTCACTTATCAGTAAGATTATACTATATTGTACTACTTAATTGTTTACATCAGAGATTGGCAAATGTTTTCTATAAAGGACCAGATAGTAAATATTTTAGGCTTTGAGGGCCATGTAGTCTATGTCACAACTACTCAACTCTACCGTCATGAAAGCTGTCACAGACAATATGCAAATGAATGGGTGTGGCTGTTTTTGAGTAAAATTTTATTTGTGGACACTGAAATTTGAACTTTATATAATTTTCACATGTCACAGAATCTTATTCTTCAACCATTGAAGACATGGAAAAATTCTTAGCTCACAGGCTATATAAAAGCAAAGAGAGGACTGGATTTGGTCTACAGGTTATAGTTTGCTGACACCTTGTTACATGCTTCTTTCCATTCCTGTTCTCCCGTCTCCCCCTCCAGTTCCAAAAAAAGAAAAACTGTCTGTCATCCCGTTGTGGATACAAAAGAGTCCCTCGATAAATATCTTCCAGCAGAAATTAATTTAAAATATTTGTTAAGAATTTGCCATGTACGTGTTCTCATTGGTGTGATACAAACACAAGACATTAAACTATAGCGTGCTATGAGCTATACTCTTGGACACAAGCTGTCACTAAAAAGCATCTAATGTAAATGGTGTTTCTAGGTTTGTATAGTGTTCAACCTGCACAACCATACATGGTAGCCCTGGGCATCTTAAACATTCTTTTGATCCTTTATGACCTTTTATGCTTCACTCAACTAGTGTGATACCAATTCTATAATCCCTCCTCTAGAGCAATGAGCATAATTTCTTAAGTATCATTTTGGTTTCTTGTTAGTGTATTTATATGTTAATACAGCCTTGTTCAATGCTGTCATAGCTATTATGCTTCCATTTCTAATTGTTATACTCCAGTTGTTTTACATGTGACCTTGTTTAAAGATTCCACTTAGAAAAATTAAACCCACACAGAAAAACCAAACACACAAATTTCTTTAGTACCTCATAGTTCTCCAAGATCTTAAGAAGAAATACTTACATAAACTTTCTGACCCACTGCCATGTGTATATCTGGTATTTCTATTAGTACTCGCAATAGCATGGACTGCTTCACTGGCCACTAGAGACTGAAATCAATAGTAGACAGAATTTCAGTTAATGTGCAGCTTTAAAATAGGACAGGTAGAAGTTTCTAAATCATACATTAATTGAATCAAACTGTATGTATGAAGAAATAGAGAGTGGAATGGTTGTTGCCAGGGGCTGGGGATATTAGGGAGAAAAGGGAGATGCCAGTCAAAGGATACAGACTTCCAGTTACAAGATGATTAAGTTCTGAGGATCTAAAATACAGCCTGGTGACTATAGTTAGCACCACTGTATAATACACTTGAAAATGGCTAAGGGAGTAGAGCTTAAATGTTCTCACAACAAAAGAAAAACTTGTAATTATGTGAGGTGATGGACTGTTAATTAACTTTATTGTGGTGACCACTTCATACTATATGTGTATCAAATCATCACATTGTACACTTTAAACTTGTACAGTGTTATAAGTCAATTATATCTCAATAAAGCAGGGAGAAAAGTCTACATGAAAAATCTGCATTTATCCAAGAAGTAAATTGAAAAGAATAAATTAACTTTTAAAAATATTTTTCTCTTAATGGAAAATTACAGTTGGGTGGCTTTAAACATAGACTC